TATGTGTATAATTGCATGATTTTTAAATATTTTATTTTTTTCATTTATTTATTTATTTAGTAATTTTATTCGTTTTAATTTTGTGTATTTATTTTAATTTAATTTTTTTGATTAGTTGAAAGGCATTTAAATGCCAAAATTGTAATAGTTAGGTTATTATTTTATTTCCCCTTTAGATTGTAGTTAGAGCTCCCCAATATAATAGTTAGGGTTTTATTTGCTTTATGTGTTTTGTATGCTTCTGTGTTACGTGTTACTCGCTTTCTTAGGGTCTTGCATCTAGATATCATGTTTATGTGCTATGTGTTTTATGTGTTTATTGGCTTTACTATGCTTTATATGATTTATTTGATTATAATAAATGCATGACGTCACCGCACTAGTCCAACGCTAGTTGTGGTACTCCTTTCTAATTTCTCATTAGTCCAATGCTAGTGAGAATTTATAGACATGGGTTAGTCCAATACTAGACCCTTAGGGACCGTCCATAGTTAGATCATGTTTGTGTGACAAATCACTACATTTTCATGCATATTTTTTACTTTTAGGGTTTTTCATTTTGCGTGACATTTCCCTTATATGTATATATCCCTTATCCAATATTTTCCCTATATGTATATTCCTTACCCCTATATGTGAAACATGACATGTAGACTTGCATTCCATTTAAGAAAATTAAAATTAGGTTAGATCATTTGCTTAATTAGATAGGAGAAATACCTCTCGAATATGGGATATGGACGAGTATGGCTCTCTAACCTTAGCATGCTCGTATTCCGTCTATTAAAGGAAAAATTGAAGTCACGAGTAATAGTTTCCCCCGCACCCATTATCATGCATTCCTTTAGGTCACCTATATTAGCATAATTATTATTTTCTTTCCTTTGCTTCGAGTCCCATATTATTGCATGTTCGTGACCTCTTCAAAAAGTCACTTTTAGACATCACAATTAATGTGATTTGCACCAAATAAGTTTTGGAAGAGATATTCCGACCCCCTGATATCCTCATAGGTTTAGAGTTTGCATCCATATAGTGACATCCAAATGTGACAAATTCTTAGTTTAAAATAAGAAAATTTTTGACTAAATCACGCAACTAACCTTGGCTAGGTTGAAAGGGTGCCTTGAATTTTGTCATTGCTTCCCTTTTTTCAACCATGACTCCCGATCCTTTTTTTCTAATTTTTGAAGACTTGGAGTCGTTTAAAAAGGAGGTTTTCTACTTTTTTATTCAAAATTTATTTTAGGTGACTTGGTACACCTTAATTCAATATCAAGTGGCGACTCCAATTTTTTTTATTAAAAGCCCTTTTTAAACTATTATTTTGGGCCAAAATAATCGCACTTTTTAAATCCCATTTAGACCCATTTCTTTATTCATTTTTCTAAAAACAAAACTCATTCTTTCAAATAAAAAAGTAATAAAAAATTCATTTTTAAAAACACCTTTATTTTTCATTTTAAAAATGGGGCGCAACACATGCAATTTTTTAATGAAGGATTTAAAATCATCATCATTTTCAACATCACTTTCAAGTTGAGGGTTACAAGTTGTTACCTCATTATTTTCAATGGCCATAAAAGCCATTTGAATAGATTCTTCTTCCTCTTCTATTTCACCATCGGAGTTGCACTTATTCCATGTGAATTGAAAGTTGTTGAATCTTGGTTTTCGTTCAGCTTTCCCTTTTTTCTTCTTCTTCATTGGACACTCACTCATGTAGTGTCCAGATTGGCCACATTCATAGCATTTGTCACCATGTTTTTTATTGACCTCTTGCTTAGATTAAGAAGCTGATCAAGTTATAGGCACTTTTTTTGCTCAATATAAAATTTACCCTCTTTTCTAAGTGATCACACAATGAATCAATTTATGAATGAATAATATCACTTGAGTGAAGTAGAAGAGATATGCAATTTATAAATCACAAGATAATAATAAGTAAATAAGAAAAGAAGAATTGCAAACCAATTGACTACCAAGCTCCTTTTAAGTTTGAAGATCAATTCATAAAACAAGTTTTTTCAAATTGATGAAATACAACCAATCTTGTGTACAAAAGAAGGCTCATTTCTTCCTTGCCCCAAGGTTCACTCGGTCAAGTTAGAAAGTTTTACTATCCCGCAGGATAACCCTCACAAAGCGACACTATTGAAGTATTCACTCACAAATGAAAAGTTTACAAAGAATCTTACACCACAAAGAGTACAAATATTTTTTGGAGAGTATTTTCTCACTAAAACTATTCTTGATCTTTTGTATTCTCAGTGTACAAAAGTTTTTTGAAATTTCTGATCATGCACTATTTATATGAAATCAAGACAGTTTTTCATTAATACTTCCAACGGATACAAGGTAGATGAAGAGTCAACTAGCCGTTGGAAGTGTCGGAGGTCTGGTACTTCTGATGCTTGCGTTCGAAAGCGAACAGAGAGTTTGAAAAATCTTTTTAATTCTATCAGATGTCCGGTACTTTTGATGTTTGTATCCAATAGCAGACAAAGAATTTGAAAGATCATCTCAATTCTATCGGACATCCGGTGATGGAGTTGTTCGTGTATCCGATAGCAGACAGAGAGTTTGAAAGATTATTTCAATTCTTTCGGATGTCCGATGAAGATGTTCTGCGTCTGATATGATTTGCACTGTTTATCGGACGTCCAGTATTGTCTTTGTGAGCGTTCGACAGCTTTCATCTTTCTTTATCTTCTTTCAATTGCTCTTGTTCTTTGAATCAAATTGCTTTAGAACTGAAAGGATTTCTTATTGAAAAGATATTAGTATTATCCAATTATTTTGTAAACATCAAAAGACAGGGATCAAAATCAACAGTGGTTGTTCTAGTAAATCAGAAATTGCTGTTTTAGTAGGTTTAATATGATTTTCAAGCACTTTTACACCATTTTGCAAAGTTCAATTTAAAACATGCATGCACTTTGATATGAACAGTATTCTTTTCCGTCATAATCTTGGTTGACAAAGAATTTTAAACTCTCTAATGGAGGCAATATTTGCATATGCATTATGTTGATCAATTGAAATATTTTTTTAACATAAACTATATTTTCCCAAAATAATACTAATCATTCTAAAAATATTTAGTTATCATAAAAAATATAAAACACTATCATTCTTTTTTACATAATCCACTCATTATCAATCACATGACAAGTTATGCCCATATATAATAATATGAATGCATTAGCCAATGATTATTGCTAATATCAAAATATATGGACACACAACTATCCAAATTTAAGTATATTTAATCAAAATCTTTTTTCCTTGATTATAAATACTCTACAGCAACGTGCTTATTGGGAGGTTTGCTTACTCTAAACCGTCAATGGAGATCATCAGGAAATTTTTCGCGGTTGTAGGATTGAGAGGCTCTTGCGACGTTGGACTGCTTGACTCCAAGCACGTGCTCATTCGCCCTTCCACGGAGGAAGACTACGCTAGGATCTTCCCCAGGAGAACTTGGTTTGTCCAAGCCTCACCCATGACAATCTCCAAGTGGACAATGGATTTCAAGATTAACCAGGACTCTTCGGTGGCGCCTGTGTGGGTTGCCTTGCTAGGATTACCCCTTCCATTTTTTGAAAAGAAATATCTGTTCAAAATAGGATCCCTTCTTGGGCGGCCACTACCGGTAGATTCAGCAACTCTCGCTCTTAAACGGCCGTCGGTTGCGTGAATACTGGTTGAGATAGATGTAGCTAGCCCTTTGGCTAAGAGAATCTGGATAGGGGATGAGGAGGTTGGGTAATGGCAGCAACTTGAATACGAAAACTGGCCAGCTTATTGCGGGTTCTGTGAGAAGCTTGGACATAGGAAGGCCGACTGCTACACGAAGAATCCAGCGCTCAGGCCAGCACCTTCATTGGACAAGCGGGGCATATATCGCCCCAAGACGCACACCGCTAAGGGAAAGGAAACTATGGAGGAGGGGCAGCAGGGAGTTCTGGAGGCAGGCACATTGCCCCAGCAGTCGGAGACAACATCTCCAGATCCCAACCCTGCTCGGGTGTCTCAAGGGGCTCACTCAGCAAAGGAAGTGGAGGAGGCGCAACAGAAAATGGCGGAGGCAACGTAGGTCGACACGGCAGCTACTCTTTGGATTGACCTCTAGCGGACAGAGACGGTGCCTCCAGAGTCAGCAAAGGCGCGGTGTGATGCTGGGGCTGCTACCAGCGGGGACGACGGCCTGCCCCACGGACCAGTAGGAGCCAGTGGGAGTGACAAAGGTGCCTCAGGAGGCACAGCTTGAAGCTTTAGAGCCACTTCCGATCGTCAACTCCTTTCCTGCCCTGGACATCCACCTGTCTCGGCAGGAGGGTGGCTGTCTTTCTGCTGGGTTGCCCACCTTAACTCCTCCGAATGTCAAACCCCTACGTCGGAGCAAATCATGGGATAAAAGGACGGGGGAAGCTGCTCTCGCTACTGGTTTGCGGCCAATTCAGGCGGGCTTGGACTGCCACATACCACAGGCAGCGCTGCTGGATTTGTCGTGAGGCGCGCTGATTGACACGAAGGACATTGAGCTTCTCAACAATCTCTCTAGAAAATCTGGACGCTCGATTAACTACAACAGGAGATTGCAGCACTACTTATCTCAAGCTAAGTCTTATTTGGTCCCTCATGATAAGTCCCATTAATTTTCTAGTTTGGAACATAAGGGTGCCGTCCGGGCAGACTCCGAACGTTATCTTCGTAGACTATGTAGACAACATCGTTTACGTTTAATAATACCGTTGGAGCCTATGGCATCCAGTGATACATTGACTTTGCTTGGACGGCAGTTAAACTATTCCCACGCTTAGTCATTCCTGGAGAATAAAATTTGGATCTTCTCGAATGCTGACTTATCTGTGGTGTCTCACGAGTTGGGGGACCAGTTGGTACATATGGAGATTTCTTGGGTAGGTTTCTCTCTCCAGGTGTCAGTGGTGTATGCCAAATGTACAAGAGTGGGTCGGCGGGGCTTATGGCAAGCAATGGAGGAAGTCCATGAAAGGTTTCCAAGGCCATGGCTAATGGCGGGAGACTTTAATGTGGTTTCTAATGCCAGCGAACGTTCTGGCGGGGCCCCACCAAACGAGCGTAATATGGATGAACTTAACGAGGCCACTTTCTCTTGCTGGCTTGCGGATGTGGGCTTTGATGGCCCCCTGTTCACCTGGACCAATGGTACGGTTTGGCAGCATTTGGACCGGGCTATTGCGAACACAGCTTGGATGGACACGTTTGATGTGATGAAAGTGTCCCACCTGGTACGGGATAGATCTGACCATGCTCCTCTCTTGGTCAAATGTGGCTTGCACAAGGCGCATAGTTCATTTTTCCGCTTCCTTAATGTCTGGACCAAGCATTCGAGCTTCATGGGAGTGGTACGGGATGCTTGGCAAGCACCTGTTCACGCTGGGGGTATGCTTGGCTTCTACCAATGGCTGTCAAATGTTAAGTGTAAACTCCGCAGCTGGAGCAGGCAGACATTTGGTGATATCTTTCAGGCAGTACAAGTGGCTGAGGAGAACTTGCGGTATCATCAGGAGGTGTTTGATGTGACCCAAGATGACATCTCTCGGATATAGTTGGGGGAGGCTCAGGCGCAATACGCCCGAGCGTTAGGGGTAGAGTGTGAGTACTGGAGGAAAAAATTGGCAATTAAGTGGATTCAGTAGGGCGATGCCAATACCAAGTTCTTTCACTTGATCGTGAAGCAGCGAAGGAATGCCAATTTCATCTCAAGGGTGAGGGACGATGCGGGTCGCAGGCTAGAAGATGAGGAAGCGATCAGAGACTTGGCAGTGCAATACTTTGAGAAGCTGCTCACGTCGGACCGAGAGGGCCGAGTTACCCCAAGCTTGGACTTCCCACTCCCCTCACTGACAGATAAGGACAATAGGATGTTCCAGCAGCAGCCATCCCTACAGGAGGTAAAAGAGGTAGTTTTTTCGATGTCCAAAGATAGTGCGCCTAGGCCGGACGGATTCGGGGCAGGTTTCTACCAAGAATGCTGGCCAATAGTCCAACATGAGCTTCTCGAAGCAGTTCAGGAGTTTTTCAAGGGGGCCCCTCAATCCAGAGGCTTCTCTAGTAGATTGATTGTGTTAATCCCAAAGGTATCGGGGGCGTCCAAATGGCAGGAGTTCAGACCGATCAGTTTGTGTAACCAAAGCTCCAAGATTATCTCCAAGGTGCTGACAAACCGACTCAACCTCCTGCTCCCCAAAATTATCTCTCCATGGCAATCAGGTTTTGTCCCAGGCAGGAGTATTGCTGACAACATCCTCGTGGCACAGGAGCTGGCACTGTATATTGATAGAAAGTTGCGATGCCCGAACCTGATGCTGAAACTAGATATGGAGAAGGTGTACGACAGGGTAGAATGGAGTTTTCTTATATTTATGCTCCGACAGTTTGGGTTTCAGGAGTGGGGGTGGATCTCCTCTTTCGGACGCTGTCAAACAATTGGTTCTCATTGCTAATCAACGGATCCTCGACAGGTTTCTTCAAATCCTCAAGGCGGGTTCGACAAGGCGACCCGCTCTCTTTAGCCTTGTTTCTTTTAGTGGCCGAGTTCTTGGGTCGGGGAATACACCATTTGTTCTGCCAGGATGAGAACCGTTTCTTCGTCTCCCCTGGGTTGTGGGTCCTTTACTTGGCGTTTGCGGATGATACCCTGGTCTTCACCCGGTGTTCTGCGGGGAGGGGGGTTGGGTTCCCTCAAGAGGTTCATTGACTCTTACTAGGCTTTCACGGGTCAGAAGATTAATGCTCACAAGAGCTGCTTTATTTTGTCTGCTCGAGCGTCCCCTACACATGGGGCAGTCGTGGCCTCAACGTTGTACTTCCAGCAACAGTTCCTGCCGTTCATGTATCTGGGGGCCCCAGTCTTCAAGGGAAGAACGACGTGCGTCTTGTTTGACTCCCTTGTGGCTAAGGTGCAGGCCCGCCTATCCCATTGGAGCTCGCAGTTACTCTCATCAGGAGGTAAATTGGTGCTACTGTGGCATGTTCTTACCTCAATGTCTATGTACCTGTTGTAAGTGTTGGATCCCCCTCGCACAGTTTTGCTCAAGTTGGGCAGGTTGTGTAATGATTTTCTCTGGGATAAGCCCGCTGGATCGAGGGGCATCCACTGGACTTCTTGGGGAAAGATCTGCTACCCGGTGTTTGAGGGTGGATTGGGTTTCCGCTCCTTTGATGACATGAGCTCAGCTTTCACCTGTAAGCTATGGTGGCGGTTGAGGAAAAATGAATCGTTATGGCGCACTTCATGCATGCCAAATATGTTCGAGGCAAGCATCCGCTCCAAGTGCAGGTAGCTAGGCCTTCAGCCGCATGGAGACGGCTGGAGGGAATTAGTCGGGTAGCAGAGAGTCACATTAGGTGGTGCGTGGGTAAAGGGTTTGTAGATTTGTGGTATGACCGTTGGCTTTTTGAAGTCCCTCTGGCCGACCTCCTCTCCATTACTGACCCGCCACACATGCTGCTCGCAGAATTCTTTGATGACATGGGTTGTAATGTAGCGAAACTAGAGCAATGGATGCCTGCTCAGCTGGTTAATCAGATCCAGCGTATTCAATTATTCCCCGAGCAGCAGGATCAAATGGTTTGGGTGGGCTCTCCCTCGAGGGAGTTCTCAACCAAGGCTGCTTGGGAGGATATTCGGCAAAAACGCAACACCTCGCTGTTGGACGGGTTCCTTTTGACAAGCATAATGCCACTGAAGCTATCATTCTTCGCATGGAAGGTTTTACGTAGCTTGGTCCCCTTGGAGACGGTTCTGAAACGACGTGGAATTCCCCTGGCATCACGCTGCCCATGTTGTCTATTGGAAGAAGAGTCACTAGTCCATCTCTTTGTAATAGGCCCTGTAGCAAGGGAGGTTTGGAGCTCCTTTTGTCAGAGGTTTGGAATTATTGATCCTCGCTCCTCATCGGTATCAGCGATGGTCTTGGCATGGTTTAGCTCGACTTTGATGGTATCCCATGATCATATCAGGACTGTCGTCCCTTTAGTAATACTGTGGTTCCTATGGAAGGCTAGGAACAAGGCGCTCTTTGAGGGTGAGATATTTGAGGCTCGTAGGGTGGTGTCTTTGGTCGATGGTTTTGTGAAGCAATTGGGGGCGGCAACAAAATTTTTGACATGTCATTTTAGGGGATACATGAGAGACCCATGGGTTGGACTATGCACCCGTCCAATGAAATGGAAAACTGCGCAGGCGGTGTCCTGGAAACGCCCTCCATTGCACCATGTTAAGCTGAATACAGATGCTAGTGTCTCTCACAAGCGTGCGTATGGGGGTGGTTTGCTTCGCGACTCGGACGGCCACTTAATTTTTGCTTTTTACAAAGAGTTCGGGGAAATGAACGTTCTGATGGTAGAAAGCTCATCGTTGCTGCATGGCTTTCAGCTTTGTAGGGACCTAGCCAGGGGGCCCCTGCTGGTAGAGGTGGACTCTAAGAGCCTGGTTGATCTTCTCCATGCGGGAGCGACGTCCCGTTGGCCTCTGTGTAACACGTTGCGTCGCATCCGAGCGCTGCTTTCCTCACTTTCAGCAGTGGTATCCCATGTCTTTAGAGAGGCAAACGCTTCGGCGGACACGCTCGCCGGGTTGCGGTTGTCGTCGGAATTATTTTGCACTTCGTCCCATAAGCTCCCGCATTTAGTGCGGTCTATAGTATACTTAGACAGTCGCGAGGTGCCTTCCCTGCGATGGCAACTCGGGAAGGTGTCTTGAATTTGCGGGCAGTTGAAATTTTGTACTTCATCGTTTCATCGTAGTATGTACTACTCTGGTTCCAATCAATAAAATAAAGTATTTACAAAAAAAAAAAATACTCTAAGTGTTTGTCCAGGAGTGGTGCTTAGAATACGTTTTGCTTGATGGTTTAAATCATTTTGACAATATTTAACAAAACTAAAATTTTTACCAAAACTAAATTATATATCTTGTATAGTAGTTTTTCGTTAATTCATTCCTATCTTTTTCATCACTATAATCAATATAAAGAAGCATTAGGGTCAGAAGTACCAAACCAAGTAAGTTGCTTTTTCTTTTTACTGATGCCATATTCTTGAAGACGCTCTCTAGATACCTCACAAACATTCTATAGCCAGATTCTATCCTCCACTTGTAAAATTTTGGACAATATTGTAATACTTTTGTACTCATAATATTTTAACATGAATTTTGTTGAAGTGCTTTATGAAGATGTTGGATTGGTGAGCTTTACTTTTTTTTTCTCTTTTAGGTTTGAGAACTTTTAATTGTTATTTTTTTCACTAATTTATATGTATTAACTCTCTAGTAATGTGATTTTCGTGATATTTGGAGAATCAATGTTGAAGACATTCCCTCAATCATGCCCAAAATAGTTTTCCCTTGTTATTTCTTGGTTTAGAGAATAAACTAATACTAAAACTTGTTAGTTCCAAAAGTAGAAGTGGAAAAATACTGAGAATGTAAATTGATAAAAATTATGGAGTAGAAGAGGGAGAATACAAGAAATAATGCTACTTAAGAGAATGAGAAATTTAGAGAATCTTAGAAATTATAGAATTATAATTAATATGTGAAATATATGGAAATTTAGGGTTTAGAAGAGGAAGAAGGCAAAATTTTTGTAGTGAAAAATAGTGAAAAATGGGATATTTACAGGAGAAAAGTATAAATTAAGAAATAAAAAAGCCTAGCAATAGCAATGGGTACAAAATTTAGCCTTTTTTATACCTCTTGGCAAAGACTATTTTAATTTAGTCATTGATAGTTATTGTTAGCAACGGCTAAATTAAAATAATTGTTGCAAAAAAATAAAATATGTCTAGCACTATGTATTCTTAGTAAGGCTAGGCTGTTGGGACATTGGACTTTGGAGTTTAGTACTTTGGCTAGGCCAAACAAGCTCAAATTGAGTAGGCCATTTTTATTTTTTTAAAAAAAATAGACAATTTGATCCGGACTTGAAATGTTGATTTTAATTTCATTTCCAATTTTTGAAGAAATTGAACTGAAATATTTAGCCAAGGTTCTAGCCAATTCTAATATCCCATGTTCAGTTTCAATTTTGGTTCAACAAACCAGCGGTTTGATTTCGATTTAATTCTGGTATGAACTTAAACCATGGCTTTCTTGAATTCTACCTACACTAATAATATTAATACCGTTACATGATTAAAGGAAAATTTGTCCTTAATTTGAGTCTAAATTATGAATAGAATTTATTGATGTAAGTTAATACCTGAAAAATCTTCAACTACTAAAGTAAACTATTCCTTTATATTACCCTAAACTATGTATGTACATTGACAAGAAAATAGACTATCTACATATTTAATGACTCCTTGATTTGAGAACAAACTATTAATATCTCTTAAACTTAGAAATCCTTAGCACATGGAAAAGTTATTTACGTATCTCAAATGTAAAACTCATTAAATGAGAATACATTATCTACTTATTTCAATTTGAATTCCATAGTGAGTATATACTGTCTAAACAAAGCCAATTTAGGACTCGTTATGTGCAAAAAAAAAAAAAACATATGTGTTTAATTAAAATACATTTAGTTTGATCCTAGGTTAGAGTGTGTAGGTAGTTTCGAAACTATCTCATGTATACATATACCATGGAAAAAATAAAACTCTTCCAGGATGTTTTTGGACCAATACTTTCACATTTGAAAGACAAAGTTTGAGTTTTGAAACTTATTTACTTTCACATCAAGTTTTGCATTTGTTAACAAACTATGAGAACTCAAAAATTTTATTTATATATATTTATTCAAGTGTTTAAATCATTTAATTATTTCTTTAACTATTTATTCACATGTTTAGTTTCCTATCTTTTCTCAACTTATTCATTTTAAATAATTTTTTTATTTTTCTTCTTTTTTTTTTCTATTAGTAATTGGTTAGTAATTTAATCACTAGTTGGAATAGTAAAAATCTTTTACGCGCACGTTTTAGCATAGCTACATTAAATTTTACTGAGACGTACTAGTGCGACCAACTAGCAAAACATGATCATAACTATGAGAGTGTAGTAAGATTTGACTCTTGAAGGAGATTGACAAGGCTTGAGAGTTAAACCCTATTCTCTCACTATTCATAGTTGACTTTGATTTGCTTGTAAAACCAAACAACCTCTCCCTTTCTCTCATCACTCTTTCTCTTCTTTTTCCACTCCCCGTGGTCGAACATTGGGAGGTAGAGAAAGAGAGAGTTGGCCGCAATTTCTTCCACCATTTTTTTCTTTGATCAAACCCCTAGATAATCACCAAGATTTCTCCTTCATCTCCTCTTCATTTTCCCTCGCTTGTTGGCCGGTTCCTTGGGGCAAAAGAGGAGGAAGAAAATGCTTTTCATCTTTTCAATCAACTCTTATTCCAAGTAAGATCTTCACCCTAACATCATTCCCCTTGTGGAGTTGAGAGGTTGGCTTTGATGTGTAGTTTGTCTTGTGATATTTTTTTTTGTTGGAAGCTTGGAGGAAATGGTTGCTATATATATTGCTAAAAATGCCTTGAGTTATAGTTGAAAAATTGCTTTAATTACTTGCTTAGATGTTGATTCATATATGTGAGGCTGATTTGAGCAAAAAGTTTGAGCTTTAAATGGTGAAATTGTAGTTTGCTTCAAGATATGTTAGTTGTTGAACTTTCGCAGTGGTCACTACATAGACTTAGGGAAACTATTGTATCTTGGTGTAGAAAAATCCAAATTGAGTTTTGCCTATTGCATTTGAAATTAGATTCAGAGTGCTTTCTACCGTGAAAATTTCAGAATTTTTCTCAATTTCTACGAATATTTATGATTTTCCAAAATTGATCAAATTTTCACACCTGCTCTGTTTTTCTACCTGATGAAACAGCAACTTGAGACTGGAATTTGACTGATTTGTGGACAGAATCTTACAGGAATTGTAGTCCTTCGAGTCTATTTTCCAATGGTATAAAGTTTATAAATTTTGGACTTAAGAAACTTGCGATACGATTTTTCAAACAGTGTCGCGCAAAATTGGAGAAAATTCTGTTTTCTAAAGTTGTTCTTGCTTCCATTTCCAACTTTAAGTTGAAGTTGTTAAACCATTTTGAGTTTGGTTTTATGATTGGAATTGAGGTTTTCTCACAATTTTATGCCTTTGAGTTGAATAGTAATTGTTGATTGTTCGAGGCCAAGTTTCCTTACTCGTCCTTAGTCATTATTCGAATAGATCCTTATTTGATGGTGCTAAAGGTTTAGTATAGGATGGTAGGACTTATGAAGAAGAATTCTATCTATAATTTGGTACTTGGATGGTGAATTTACAATTTTTAGACCACTATGCCTTGTTAACCCCTAAATCACTACTTATACATGAGTTTTCACTTAAAACTATGGTGTTTTAAAGAATGAGTGACTTTTCTTCCCAAGTCGCTTATTGAATGTTTTGACAAGAGTAAACGTTATTATATCATCTTACTATATCCTTGCCTCATTTAGAACCTTATTTTTTTCATTTAAATTTGTATTTTTGACTTTAGTGTCAAAAGTTTTCTCTTATAGTTTGAGCAAGAATAGGTGATACTTTTTGATTAAAAGCTTGCACTTGAGGAGGGGGGTTCAACTATTTTATTCAAATATTTTAAATGGTGAACTTCTTTAGTTTACTTATCCTATGTATTTGATCATAGGTTTCAAAAGCGAACCCGCGGACCCTTTCACAGAGGAAAGTTAACTTTTCTCCACGCAGTGAATGTTATAAGTGCATGTTGCACTTCATACTTACTTGACATGCGTGTACCCTGTAAAATTGCCTGTTATTGAACTGTTTGATATTTGACTTAGATGAGCATGTACTTTAATTTGCTCGACCCCTTTCTTGCTTGTATTTTTCCTATTAGTCATTTGGGCTGTTGTCCTATCGACTCTTTATTGTGAATTGTGATTCTTGACTATTTGATTGATTGGTTGGGCTGTGATCCCACCAACACAACTGCATGTTGGGAATTCCAAAAACCCTGTTGGCTACTTAATCGAGTCGAGTCAGCAAGAGTCTGGTCGATTAGATAACGAACCCTGGGTCTCTTCGACTAATTGGTATGCTCGAATATTACCACTACTGTTTATTGTGGTATGCGGGCCCAGTATAGGGGTGAAATGGTGAACAGGAATTGGAGTAAAGCGGCATTCTGGGTTATTGGTTTGATAAACGTTGATGGAGTGTCAACCACCTGCGAGATGTCCGAGTTACATGGATTTGGCTTTTGGAAACCCTTGTATCCTTGAATTGGATTGTTACTTCTTAACTTGTGCTCCAAGTATTTGTCTTATTCTTTCTTGAATTAGTCTTGAATTAAATGTTCATGTTGGTTAGACTGCATGATTTTGTTAGAATCTCATTGGGTGAAAGCTCACTATATATTTGTTTTCCTTAATAGGGGGAAAAGTGTTAGCACCATGAGAAAAGTGAGCATGCCAGCATTTGGTATATTTTGTATTTCATACTTTCGGACAATAAGCTGAACCTTGAATTATGTATTAAGGCATTTTGGAGATGAACGCTTCAGCTTGTAATAGTTAGTATTTATGGGTGATATTGAATGATTTACTCGTACTTCTTGTCTTGAGGTGTTAGTGAGCCCTAGTGAGAATTGGGCAGGTAGCCGCTGACCCTTCTGGTTCACCTTAGGGGAAAGCGGAGTCGTCACAGTTGGTATCAAAGCTCTAGGTTCGAAATGTCCTAGGGTCATGTAAGGG